GCAGTTTTAATTTCCATTTTCGTAAACAGCATTCAAAACTCTATCGATTTATCTGGGTCTACATTCAAAGTTCCAAGATAAGTAGACTACCCCTCCCTGGTAAGTCTAATATGGGCTATACAAGGACTGCTGTAAACCTTTGATAAAAAGGGTACTCGAAGAAAGTAACGAGCAAAATGAAGAAAATGGCTTTATGACTATTTCCAGAATACCTTGACGTGAGGGGAGAAAACACCAGGAAGAAGAATACGGCAATCATAGCAAAAATACATGCGGCGCTTACCGCAACCGAGGCATTTCGATTTCGTCAAACCTTCGAGAGGAGAGTATGAAGACAAATTGCAGCTCCCTTGGGCAATTACGGACATTGAGCTCGGCTAAAAACCGATCTGAAAAAGTCCATATCGACTAGCAATCCGAGCAGACACATATAGTAAATATGTGAATTATTTCAGAGGTGTTCAAAAAAGAATGTTCCTGTTTCTATTAAATTTTGCCGCGCCATGGCCAATGCATTGCCCCCGTCCTCTGCGTCCTTTAATAACAAAGTACTGTAACCTTCTAGGGGCCTACGGACTACTTGAACTCGGTTCCTTTAAATTTGCCGGATGCGTCATTTTTCTGCCCTCGTCTGGCGCACTACCGTTTTATGTGGTCTTTGCGTGTTGTGCTCGCCTGTCCAATGGGGCCCNCACCACCACCGCCGTAGGCTTCACCCGGGGTATTTTTCTCTGGGCTCCAGCTTCTTGCCGTCAGAGATGCAGAGCAATTGTCTATATTTCAAAGGGTTGCATTTGAGGATTTCGAAGCGGAACTCTCCTTTTCTAAGCAATATTGGACCAAAAATGATATCCATTGCAAAGATTGAATCAAAGTCTCCACTCTACTGTTCAGCTTAGGAGTTCTAAAATAGATGTTCGAGTCTTACTGATATTTCGCGATAATGGCAATACTGGCTTAACAAGCACTTTCAAGAAATGAACTCCATAATTAGTAAGGGTTAAGTAGAAGTATTAGAAGCTCTTCTTCCCCACTATTACCACATTGGGCTGCATACAACTCGGCCCCATGTTAAACCTCTTTTGCCCTGGTTTATAGCCCTATAGGGTGAGCGTTGTTTGACATTGTTGAGCTGATACGTTGTTTGTGCGACAGGGAAACAGAAACGAAGATTCAGTACAGGCACATGACTCCTACAGTAAATCGTCAGTGTGGTGTAAATGCACCCATATTAGCAAAAATACTTTTTTATGGTTTCATCGCGCTGTTTATGATCTCATTTACAATTATTCTCAATCTTTCAGTTTTGTATTTACTGTGTTGCCGTTCATTATTAGTATGTGCACATAACTGTTCGTTTTCTTAATATGCAATTTCATGCGCTTCGTTTCTAATTAGAGCCGCGCGTATCGCTTGGTACCACTCTGCACAGACGACTCAGTTTCGGGTTACCCATGAAACAATAAAAGGATTAGAAGTATGACGAAAGTCGAGATTAAAAAATAGTTGGTGAAAATGTAGTCGGGGGGTGTCAGCGTGCTCTGCGTCTCTGACACCAGACGGCAGAGTGCACAGGGCCTACGCTAGAGTGCAAGGATGATTCCCTCCCCTTCAAAAAGTTCTGGGAAGGAGCTCCGGGGGAGGGAGAGATGATTATCTCGTGCAAAAAGCTGAGATGGGGTAAGAATTGAACATCGAATTGGCTCACCCATCCCGGAGCTCCTCCCCTAACTTTTAGAAGGGGAGGAAACCATCTCTGCACTCTAGCGCGGCCTCTATGCACTCTGTCGCCTGGTGTTAGAAACACAGAGCAAAAAGGTGCTGGCACCCCCTACAACATTTTCACCGAGTGGTTTTATCATCATGCTGTCAACATCATACTATGATCATCTAATTGACTATCAGTTAGTGAACTTCATGTGTGAGATTATCAGTTTGAATGAGTGGGTGTTGTTTCACGAACAACTACGCCCGAAAAACAAAGCTATGTGTTGATAAGACTTCTCCATAACGTTTCCATCAGCAAAGGGTGTGAGCTTGATCTGACAATGAGCATACTCTTCTATCTTCTGCTGTTTTATGAATCTTACATATTGAGACATTGGTCGAATATACACTAATGGCATCTTTCATAGTCCACGACCGGTCGCGCGACTGGTCGCTCGACTGATCGCGCGGGACCGTCCGCGGCGGCACCCATAACTAGCGCGGCCTCCTCGACCGATCGAGCGACCAGTGGCGCGATCAGTCGAATGACCAGTCGAGCGACCAGTCGCTAGCGACCGGCGACCAGTCGCGCGATCGGTCGCCGGTCGCTCGTGAGATGGGTCCGCGACCGGTCGCGCGACTGATCGCGCGACTGATTGCGCGACTGATCGCGCGACTGATCGCGCGACTGATCGCGCGACTGATCGCGCGACTGATCGCGCGACTGATCGCGCGACTGATCGCCAGTCGCTAGGGACCGGTCGCGCGATCGGTCGTGGACTATGCAAGATGCCAATCCTACAGAACTTAAACAACAAAATGAGGCAAACCCTACTTGCTGCGGTTGCGTCGCGGCCTTCGCATTGGAGCACGTT